CGTCCCGCGCACCCATTTCGGCACATCCCTCGCACGTTTCGTGGCCCCATAGGGGGCTCCACCGAAGGTCCCAGCGGGTGTGCCCGCATGCGTCCCGCGCGCCCATTTCGGCGCACCCCTCGCACGTTTCGTGGCCCCACAGGGAGCTCCGCCGAAGGTCCGAGCGGGCGTGCCCGCATGCGTCCCGCACGCCCATTTAGGCACACCCCTCGCACGTTTCGTGGCCCCACAGGGAGCTCCACCGACGGTCCCGGCGGGTGTGCCCGCATGCGTCCCGCATACCCATTTCGGCACACCCCTCGCACGTTTCGTGGCCCCATAGGGAGCTCCACCGAAGGTCCCAGAGTGTGTGTGCCCGCATGCGTCCCACACGCCCATGTCGGCACACCCTTCACACGCTTCGCGGCCCCATAGGGAGCTCCACCGAAGGTCCCAGTGGGTGTGCCCGCACGCGTCCCGCGCGCCCATGTCGGCACACCCTTCACACGTTTCGTGGCCCCGTAGGGAGTTCCACCGAAGGTCCCAGTGCGTCCCGCACACCCATTTCGGCACACCCCTCGCACGTTTCGTGGCCCCATACGGAGCTCCACTGAAGGTCCGAGTGGGTGTGCCCGCATTCGTCCCGCACACCCATTTCGGCACACCCTTCACGCGTTTCGTGGCCCCATAGGGAGCTCCACCGAAGGTCCCCGTGGCGCAGTCCGCATGCGTCTCCCCCTCCCAGTACACCTCCGCCGGAGGCCGTCGGAGTTCCGCGCCTCGCTCGCCCGTCGTCGCCCTGCCCAGCGGCAAGAGCCCAGCCAGCCAGCTAGCTCCTTTTGCTGCGCGCAGCGGACGACCCACGCGCGTCGCTGGGACCCCTCCGGGGCGACATGCGCGCGTCGCTGGGACTCCGCGCTGCGCTGCGCCCGCAGCCTTGGACTTTTGAATGCGCGGGCAAAGAGGGAGTAAAAGAAGGGGAGGAAGCGGGCACGATCCTCGCGGTGGCGTCGCGGCGCGCGGGCGATGCCATCGGGGAGTCCCGGGGAAGCTCCTTGCGGCGGCCGCGCCCAGCGTCACGAGTACCCAGAGGCAGTCATTCTCAACCTATTGACTTTTTATATACAACTGCACCATGCTTTGTCAAAGTCGCATTCATGCACGTAGACTCGCTCGCACGCAGATTCATTCACAGTCAGACGCACTCGCGCTCAGGATTCACCCGCGCTCAGTTTCCCTACGTACTCAGATCAATCGTTTTCGTTCGCGTCGTGTACCACGCCACTCATTTCGGCACACCCCTAGCACGGTTCGTTGCCTCATAGGGATCACCACCGAAAAAGGAAATCACAATCGCGGTACTCCCACCTGCATATGGCTGGGTCCTTCGTCAGGCTAATTCTTTCTCTCTCAGACACGAATTTATGGGCCTCTGTGCGAGGCCCCTGGGGAAACATGTGGGCGTCCATCGAATTCATAAAGATGTCCGAAGCAAGCTATTTGATCTTCAAGTATTCCAATCGATGTCCTTATGACTACCATTGATATCTTACAGAATCATATGGGCGTCCATAAGATTCCAATGGGTTTCCGGAGGAGTTCTACAACCTTCCCAGGGGTCCATTAGATTTTGGGAGGATTCCTACAGATATCCTAAGGAATCCGGTGCGTTCTTCATGGCATCGTATTGATGTCCCGAATGTAACTACAGATTTCCATTGGGAGATTCCCCAAAAGATCCGATGGATGTCCTAAGGCATCTCGTTGATTTCCGAGGGAATCCTTTCGATTGCCTAAAAAGCTCCGATGGAAATCCAAAGGAGTCCAATGGATGTCTATATGATGTCTATAGGCTTTCGTAAGGAATCATGCGATTTTTTCCTTTAAACAACTTCTGGATGTTAACAAGGATTCCGATGGATATCCCAAGTGGTCCCTTGGATGTCCATATGATGTCTATGGACTTTCTAAAGAATCCGATGGCCGTCTTCCGGAATCCCATAGATTTTCTTTGGATTTTTGTGGCTACCGTAACAAACCATATGGATTTCCTAAGGAGTCCAATGGATTTCCGATGGAAGCCTATTGATTTTCGAAGGAATCGGATTGATTCCTCTCGCTTTGCGGGGTGCACGTCCGGAGCACGTGACGACGTGAAGTCCAGTCGTTGCGGTGCCTCTTGGGAGCGTCTTTGTGGCCTCTTGGAGGTGTCTTGGGTCCTCTTCTGCAATGGACTTCTTTGAGGCCCCTTGGGGCGTCTTGTGCCGTCTTGGGGCGCTCTTGCGGCGCGTGGCCCATTCGGAGGCCGGCGTTCACAATGCGCGCGGTGCTCGGCAGTGTCTATGCGAGAAGCGGCGCGCCGCTCCCAGCGTGACAAAGCAAACATGCTCTGCCCCGCTCGCTGGCGGGCAGAGTAGGTGCCGCGAAGCCTATCCAGACTGGTAGTCGCCGCTGTGCGAGTGGCGTTGATTGGCGTGACCTGCTCGGCTGCCGCGCGTGCGTGCCGCTCCGTCCTGCCATCCCCAGGGCTTCTGGGCGGCCTCATGGGGGGCTCTTGGGGGCCTCTTGAAAGGCTCGTGGGGGTTTCTTGGAGCGTCTTTGGGGCCGCTTTGGGGCCGCTGTCTCCTCCGTCTCTCCTCCGTCTCCTCCGTCTCCTCCGTCATCCTCTTCCTTCTCCTCTTCCCCCTCCTCCTTTTCATCCTCCTCCTCCTCATCATTCTCTTCCTCTTTCATCACGCACGCACGCCGCATATCCCCCCGCCCGTCGCCCCCATAACACATGCCGCACGCCGTACATCCCGCCCGCCCGTCGCCCCCATCACACATCCCGCACGCACGCCGCACATCCCCCCCGCCCGTCGCCCCCATAACACATTCCGCACGCACGCCGTGCATCCCCCCCTCCCGTCGCTCCCATAACACATCCCGCACGCACGCCGTACATCCCCCCTCCCGTCGCTCCCATAACACAGCCCTGCACACACGCGAGCACACACGCACACAGCCGCTCACACAGGCACCTACACAGGCACGCGTACGTACACGCACGCTCGCACCAGAGTAACCACAGCAACCACAGGCAACCACTAAGCTGTTGGTGTGCTCAACCAAACGGTATCTGACAAGCCTTGTGGACAAAGCGATGCTTCCCGTTCTTGTCTGGTCAGGTTCCCTTCAAAATGGCCGTTCCGTTCGGGACATGTTTGAACAATTGAGATGTTGAAATTGTATGTTTGAGACGCCTTTCGTTAAACATGAGGCTCTCGCTCGAGACAGCCTCGAATAATAAGTTTCGGAGCTTGCTGACGAAATTCAGCGAATCGTTGGAAATTGCCGTTTCGCCTGAGACACCCTCGAAAAGTGCGATGTTGAAGCCGTGTGGTTACGACATCGTTCGTTAAACATGAAAGTCTCGCTAGATGCATCCTCGGACAACAGCACTCGCAGCATCTTAGCTCGAGGTCCTGTCTCCTCCGTTTCTTCCGTGTCCTCCGTCTTTGATGTATCGTCCGTCTTTGAGGTCTCCGTTTCCACTGTCTCTGAAGTCTCCTCCGTCTCCGAGGTCTCCTCCGTCTCTCCTCCGTCTCCTTCGTCTCCTCCGTCTCTCCTCCTCCTCCTCCTCCTCCTCCCCCTCCTCCTCATCCTCATCCTCTTTCTCCTACGTGTCTTCCTCCTCCTCCTCCTCATTATCTTCCTCTTTCATCACGCACGCACGCCGCACATCCCCCCGCCCGTCGCCCCCATAACACATGCCGCACGCCGTACATCCCGCCCGCCCGTCGCCCCCATTACACATCCCGCACGCACGCCGCACATCCCCCCCGCCCGTCGCCCCCATAACACATTCCGCACGCACGCCGTGCATCCCCCCCTCCCGTCGCCCCATAACACATCCCGCACGCACGCCGTACATCCCCCCCTCCCGTCGCTCCCATAACACAGCCCTGCACACACGCGCACACATGCACACAGTCGCTCACGCAGGCACATACACAGGCACGCGTACATACACGCACGCTCGCACCAGAGTAACCACAGCAACCACAGGCAGCCACTAAGCTCTTGGCGTGCTCAACCAGACGTTATCTGACAAGCCTTGTGGACAAAGCGGCGCTTCTCGTTCTTGTCCGGTCAGGTTTCCTAGGAAATACGATTGATTGCCTGAGGGTCCCCATAGATTTCCTTTGGATTCCTATGGATATCCAAAGGCGCCCCAGGGATTTCCATCGGATTCCAGGGGATTTCCTAAGGAATCCTATTGATTCCCTAAGGAGTCCGATGTCTTAAGGATTCGTTTGAACGTTCAGGATCATCTTGATCATCATCATCATCATCATCATCATCATCATCATCATCATCATCATCATCATCATCATCGTCATCGTCATCGTCATCATCATCTTGATCATTATGCTGAGATCTCCGGGAAAACGTTCATTATCCCTCCTGGACCCCGAACTTTTTAATCCCCAGGGGATTAGTATCAGGAGCACTAGGTTGTGCCGTTTTTCTTTTAGAAAGGGGGGGAATGAGGTAGGTAAGTTGACACTAACAGTGAATCCACCCGTGCCCCCGAACCTCTTCATCGACCGCAGGCCGGTCAAGGGGGCACCAGACGAGCGGCGCGGCTCAGCGCAGCTTGCACACGCGTTCCCTCAATCACCCAGACTTATGACGTCGTGACATTTTTTCACTACGTAGACCCCCAGAGGCCTAGACCCTGTCCCCTTGGACCAGTTCTTCATCCTGTGTAGGGTTTTTGACGATCCTCGGTCCCGGTAAGGCCCCGCAGACCGTGAAACTGGGCAACAATTTGCCGCCATGATCCTTGTCACGACGAGATGACACTCGGTCGGTTCGGTTCGGTCGGTCGTCGTGTCGTCGGTGCATGTTTGTTGCTCGCAGCTTGTCGATTTCGGTTTCGCTGTCGGTTTGGTAGGTTTCTGTTGTGTTGTCGCCGTGTACGGCCTTGGGTCTGGGAGTGTCTGCATGCTCGCGTGGAAGACGCCGCATAACGCCAGGAGATGACGGAGGCCGAGACGAGCGAGAAGGACAGCCAGGCCGATTACGAGGCCCTCATGAAGGCGAGGGCCACCGCCCTTCACGTTAAGTCTGTGTATTGTTGATGATCATTTTCATTCTACGGGGTGTTCCAGTCCGGGGACTCGTCTTCGGCGTATTCTCGTCTTCGGCGGAAGATTGACGGAAATACGTTATAAAAACATCCACACGAGCGGATCCAGGGTTCTGTAGTATGTAGCCAGCTGCCTACGGCAAGTCCCACTACCTTACCGGCTCAACATTCTGGGTGGTGAGCGTTCGAGGGTGCACGAGAAGCCGTCACGTGTAACACCTCGAGTCTGATGTTGCTAATGACCGGTGACGATAACGATAACGATGACGATGACGATGATGATGACGATGACGATGATGATGATGATGATGATGATGATGCTGATGATGCTGATGATGCCCATGATGCTGATGATGATGATGACGACGATGATGATGATTGTGGTGGTGGTGATGATGATGATGATGGTGATAATGATGAGGAGGAGGAGGAGTTGGACGAGGATGAGGATGAGGATGAGGATGAGGATGATTATAAGGATGAGGATGAGGATGAGGATTAAGATGTGGATGAGGATGATGATGATGATGATGCTGATGATTATGACGATGATGATGCTGATGCTGCTGGTGATGGTGATGATGATGGTGATGGTGATGGTGATGGTGATGGTGATGATGATGATGATGATGATGATGATGAGGATGAGGATGAGGATGAGGATGAGGATGAGGATGAGGATGACGATGAGGGCCAGTGCAAACCCAAGACGTCTCAACGGTGCCTGGATGCACACTCCCTCCAAGCTTCCTCTTCATAGGCCCCATACGACTTCAACACCGCGACTCAACGTAACCGTTGCGCCCTGACAAACCCGAATCGCTTACAAAAACAGTTTTTGGAAGGGTAACCATGAGAATCCGCGACACCCTTGCAATTGTTTAAACGAAGTGCGCGGCGCTAAGGCGAGAGCCTCATGTTGAAAACTACCCGCCCTGAATCCGTGAAATTCTTGTATCTTTTAAGACGACTGCGCGCGGCGCTAAGGCGAGAGCCACATGTTGAAAACGACCTGCCCTCAATCCGTGGAACTCGTGCAATTGTTTTAAAACAGGTGCGCGACGCTAAGGCGAGAGCCGCATTGTGAACACGACCTGCCTTCAACCTGTGAAGCTCTTGCACATTTTTATAACGAATGTACGCGGCGCTAAGGCGAGAGCCACATTTTGAAAACTACCCGCCCTCAATCCGTGAAGCTCGCTAAAATGCTTCAAGGCGAATGTGCGCGACGCTGGGGCGAGAGCCGCATTTTGAAAACGACCCGCCCTCAATCCGTGAACTTCTTGCAATTGTGTGAAATAATGTGCGCGGCGCTAAGGCGAGAGCCACATCTTGGAAGCACCCCGCCCTCCACTTGTGAAACTGTTGCCAGCTTCTAAGCTTCAGGCTCATAAATGGTAAGGAGGTCTCAGGCGAAACGCCCTGCCCGCCCTTCGACCGGCCTCGGGGTGCGACATGGAGGCGTTATTCATAAGGAAAGTGATTCAGGATAAAGTTGAGGACGAGGATGATAGTGAGGACGAGGATGATGATGATGATGATGATGATGATGATGACGATGATGATGATGTTGAGGATGATGATGCGATGATGATGGTGATGATGATGATGATGGTGGTGGTGGTGGTGATGATGATGATGACGATGATGATGCTGATGATGATGATTGGGGGTGGTGGTGATGGGGATAATGATGACGATGATGATGCTGCTGATGCTGATGACGATGACGACTAGGACGATGACTATGCCGATTACGATTGCAGTAACGACGATGATGTGGGATGTGCTGATGATAGTGATGATGATGGTAATGATGGTGAGGGTGGTTTTCATGATGCTGGTGGTGGTGGTTGTGATGATGATGATGATGGTGGTGAAACTTGTTTGGGCCGTCTTGGGTCGGCCTTAGCCTCTTGTGAGAAAGTGTTGGGCGCCCCGTGGGTCCGTCATGGGGCCATCTTACACTTGCTTTCGGTTCTCTTGGGCAGTCTCGGGGCTCTCTTGGTCGTATTGTGGGTGTCTGGGGGCCGTCGTGGCGTCGTCTTGGCGCCGTCTTGGGCCTTCGAAGGGCCTTCTAAGGTCGTCTCCTCTAGGGCTATCTTGGGGCCGTCTTGGATGGTTTTTGGGCCATCGTGGAGTCCTTTTGGGCCGTCTTCAGCTGACGGCAGCCTGGAAAAGCGAGAATGCGACAAGCATTGGAAAACCCAATAGAACTCAATGATTGATTGATTCTTCGGACCTTGTTGGAGGTCCTCTTTTGACATTTGGGGCCTTCTCGGAGGCATCTCGTTCCGTAGCCATTTTGGCTCGTGCCGCTCATCAGCGGGCGAAGCCCCCATTGCTCAAGCCGGTTGCTCATGGCACCCCGGTGTCGAAGTTGCTGGTGGTTTTGTCGCTGCTGGGAGATGGTGTCACGGGACGGCGCGTACTGCGCGCTAAGGCGTTCAGCGGCTCAGCGGAAGCTTGGTCTGGATTGGGCGCGATGGTCGGCGGACCACGCCATCGTGAAGCTTTCGTCGGAGCTCTTGCGTGGCCGCGCCAGCATGGACATGGAGGCCGCCGAGATGGCCTTGCGCATTCTGGTCGGCAGCGACGAGGTTGCGCAGCGGCTGCAGGCATTATTTCCTGCCCTCCAGGCGAAGCTGTGGGGAGGGAACCGTCCTGGCTCCAGACTCTACGTCGCAATGCTGCCTAGCACGCCGACGCGCATGGTATCAACGTGGCAACGGCGAGGCTTCCTATGCTTCGCCGTGCCCAGCACGGGCGGCGGCTGGAGGTTCGGGCTGCGGCGTGTGCATATGCGAGTGCGTTCAAGAGGACGCTACGCGCGGAGACACCTGTTTTTACCCGTCGGCCGCTACCGCGTGCGTGTTCGGTGGCGACGACGCGGAGGAGATGGAGGCCCTGGCGGACTTCGAGGAGGCGGCTACCCAGCTACCAGCCGCGGGGATCCTCTCCCCTGCGGATGGAGGCTTTGAGGGAGGGGAAGTTCTTGTGCAGGCGAGCAGTTCGGTGCCGCAGAGGGAGGAACCCCGTACCCTCTCTCACCGCCCCGCCGTGGATCCCGCGGCGACTCCCCGTCGATCCTGGGCCGCCTGTTCGGCCGCAGTGCTGATGCGAACCGGGGCCCGCCAACCACAGGAGCGGAGGGTGCTGGAGCGTTGTTTTCTCGGTTCGCGGTGCCGTGGTCCGACGACAGCAGCGTTGATCCGCATGTCGGCTTCGGCTTGGACGGCTCCGGTTTCTAGCAGTCGTTGCAGCTGGTGCTCGCGACAGTTTCTTCGTTGTTGTGATGCCGTTTCCGCTCGCCCAACCGTTCGGGCTGGGATTCCTGGAAATCGTGTTTGACGGGATGGTGAGAGGTGAGAGCGTCGATGTCCAGAAAATATTGGAGGCACCTTGGGCCGTCTTGAAGCAATATCTGGTCGCCTTGGGGTCATCTTGGGCCGTCGTGGACCGTCTTCGAGGCGCCTTGGGCCATCTTGGCTTTTGGCGTCCTTGATTGCCTGCGCGGGCTGTCTTGGGAGCTCAGGGCGCATGTCTTTTGTTGTTGCCAAGTGGATTGGGAGTCCTTGGGGCGCTTGGGAGCAGCTCCCTGAATGCGGCAAATGCGCGATACCCAAGCCGGTGCGCGTGGGGTGAGGGGTCCAGGAGGTAGCAGCCGTGCGGGAACTGCGCAATCCTCGAGCGGGCGCGCGTGGCCTGAGGGTTTAGGCATTAGCTGCCGCGCGGGACGTGCGCCATCCTCGCGCGGTTGCGCGTTGCAGGGGGCATCGTGCATGAGCGGCCATGCGGGAAGTGCGCCATCCTCGAGCGGGCGCGCGCGGCAGAGGGGCACGCGTTAGCCGCTATGCGGGAAGTGCACCATACTCGAGCGAGCACGCGTGGAAATGGGGGTCATGCGTTACCTGCCATGCTGGGGATGCACCGTGCTTGAGCGGGCACGATCAGAGCTGCTTCGGCGAGCAGGGGGATGCGCGCGAGTCTGCTAGCATACGGGGGGATGTCGCGCTCTTGGGCCATGGGGAGCACGAAAACGCGAGAAGCCAAACACATTTTTAACAATGAGAAAATGAGCATCTACGATTTCGGCTTCTTCGGGCCGTCCCGGGGCGCCTCTGGGACCACTCTTGGGGTCTCTTGTGGGCCGCCCAGGAGCCTCGAGAGCCGTCGGAGGGCTGACTTGGGTTGCTCGGGAGCGCCTTGGACCATTCTTTCGAATTCTGGGGGCTTCTGGGACGCGTCTTGGGCCCTCCTGGAACGCTGCGGGGGCCCCCTGGAAAGGCCGGGGGAGCGGCGCCGGGGGCGCCCCCGGGGCGCGGCGGCGAGGCGCGGGGCCCGAGGCCGGGAGGGGGGCGTCATGTATTCATATCATATAGAACCGCGCGCGCTTCGCACGCGCTCGGGTTCTAGCGCGTGCCATGGCGCTGTTAGCTGCGCGTGTTTGTTGGAGTGGCTCATTCCACGCCTTGCCTTGACTCGGGCGTCGCGCGCTAACCATGGAGAATTACAACGTTGGGAGCACGTGCCGATTGGTGTTGTGCGTTGCGTCGACGCGCCCATTTTCGAAGCGCACGTTGTCTCAATGCCGCGATGGCTGTCGCGTCAAAGCGGTTGCAGCTATTGCGCGGGAAGCCATGTTATGCAACATGCGTTAGCTGTTGTGTATGTGTTGGTTATTGCGTTGCGGAGATCGCCCCAAAATGTTGGCTTCGTCACGGAATGCGTTGACGCGCGCGCGTTCTGTTAGCAAAAGTGTTGCAATGCCGCCCATGTGTTGTCAAAACAACGGCGGTGCTTGAGCTGCCCGGCAGAGGCCTCTACCGCTCTACCGGCCGCCTGTGGACCTTTCTCCAAGGCTCAAGAGCTTCGAATCATGCGCAAGATTTGTCGGATGCATCGCGAACGCCCAAAGCGGGGGCGTGGGGGAAGGCCAGCGGCCAGCGA